AGAGAAGAAACTTCCCGTGCATGTGTGTGTATAAGGGAGAAAAAGACAGACAAGCTTGCTAACCAACATGTAGCACCAACTTTGGGGCTGGGATCCCATCAGACCTTATCTGGAAAACCCCCTCTCCTTCCCAGCTCTCCAGAAAGCCACTACTGGATCCCACTGCTCAGCCCCAGGAACCCCTCCAGGTCTCACAGCTGCTCTGTGTTTATCTGTTTCTCTTGTATGCTGGGTGTTTTCCATGGGGCATGTCACCCATTTTCCCATCAGACTAGGAACAGCTGGACTTTCCTTTCTGCCTCAGTCTTTCCTTTCTCTCAGTTCCACCCATTGGGTCCTCAGGGTGCTTCAGTACTTTGGGAATCAGAAACATCAGATGGAAACTAGGTTATGATGAATGCCCATATGGTGGCTAGGTACTGGGTAGAAGTTTTATCCCAAATAATCTCAGGTCAACTTCTCAAAAGCTCTGTGAGGTTACAGGTGAAAAAACTGAGGCCTAGAGTGACCAGCTCAAGGCTGCATATCTAGGAAGTGCCAAAGGCACGATTCGAACCCTGACCTGCCAACACCACTAATTCCATAGTGGGAGTGGCCCTAAAGATGGCCTTTTCCAGGCTACAGCTGCACATTCTAAGTCTCATGGAGCTTTACCAGAGAAAAAAATGAAGAGCAGAGAAATGAAGGCGTTCAGGGCCAATTCCTAAAACTGTAGCTTCCAGGACTAGAACAAAAAATCTATGATGATCTAATCATAGGGAATATGTATTATTTCCACAGGTTTAACCCTTAATTTATCACCCTGAGCATTTCTGGAGACTAGCTATCACTCTGGATTTGCTCTAGTCCTCCTGCCTCACAGTGATCCCTAACAATGCCATCACGAACCCAAGCTGCATGGCCCATGGTGGTGTCCTGCAGTGGGGAAGTCTTCAGAGCCCTCCCTGCACGCCTCTCTCTCACCGTACAGGCCTGTGCCGGCCTCCCCACCCAGACTCTGAGGGATGGGCCCCATCTTACATTCATACCTTCCTTTAGAGGTAAACTCACCTGTGTTTACCCAGATCTGCCCCATGCTAACTGGGAGACCCAACACAATTTGAGTCTCAGCAAGCCTCTGTTAACCCATCTTTTTAAAAAAAAGCATCAAAAAACCTACCCCACATTAGGACATAATCAAGGAACCACAGGAATCACATGCAAACATGCATGCTAAGTGTTTGACACCCTCAAAGGTAACTGCTAACACGGGCTACTACTTGCACTCCCTGGAGTCCTGTAGAGGATCAAAATATTCATGACTGGTATGTGTCTGAAATAAACAATCAGGAAAGGAAATGACTGTGAAAGCACAACGCCTTCCAAATCCAAACATATCATTTCTTATTTGTTTTAGATAAACAAGCTTCTCTCCACCACCAGATGACTTAATGTACACCTACACTCCTGTGAGAACGAGGAATTATGTGGACCTAAACTTGAATCCTGATTGGAAACGTTCAGATGAAGAAATCTGCATTTTGCATCCAGCATCATTGGGACTATTTTAAAGACACGTAGTCTGAGGCCAAAGCCAGTTTACCTAAAGCCTCCCCAGATGCAACTCATAAAAGCTAGGAACCTGACCAAGGCAGCCGCTGCCCACCTTCTCAGCCCCACTCCAAGCAATGCCTTGGCAAAAAGGAATCAAGGGCTGACAGCACTGTGCGAGTGAGCGATGGAGGCTACTTGTGTGCTTTCATAAACAGACCAAAGCACAAGACCCTTGGTGTCTAGGCAGCTCCCCCTCCTCGTAGGGATGAGCACGCCCTTTGCAGGATGTCCTGAGAGAACCTCTGCAGTGTGTTCCCAGCATACTGCAGCCAGCAGAGCTCCTCCTGCTTGGGCGCCAGGCCTCTCATCAGCTAGGTCTGGCTAACATGCACATCCCATAAAAACCTCTCTGCTCTGCAATTTACCAAACCACAGAGTCAGATTCACCACCAGTGGAGGAGAGGCTGGAGAGAGGCATGCTTCTCCAGTGTAGAGGGCTTCTAGAACATAAGCCACTTGGGCCAGCGTGTCCTGCCAGCTAACCACATCAGAGTGTGGTTACCCAGAACACCTGACCTTCTGGTATGTAGTGCAAGGACCAAGAGAGGAGAAGATCCCAAGTTCAGAGGCCACAGCCTCCACCCAACCCACTCTTCCTGCCCCTGTCAGCCCCACTGGACCCTATTACTGGACACCTTTCTGTTATGCATTAATGCCCCAAATCTGTAGAAGCTTCTACCAAACACTTGTCTTCCTAGCCAACCCCAACCAGACTTAGGGTACACTCAATGAACAAAATCCACAGCGTGGGCAAAAGGCCAGTTAGATCCAGGTTCTGTGATGGGCTGCAGTGACTTAATCCAATCTGGCTCTCAGCTTCCTATCTGTAAAACAATGGGCTCAAGCCAGATGAGTCTTCCGTCCCTGAAAGTTCCGCAATTCCACAACATATAATACTTTCTCCTTTCATTGTTTTCCAGACCCTTAGGGCAGAACTCTGTATGGCCCCATCTGTTCGGTGACATCATTCTCTGCCCCAAACATAATGTCACCGATTCTTACTCAGGAAGTGAAGATGTCCCAGGAAACACTTTTTCTGTAAAAAGGGAGGAAATGATCATTTCAAGGGAACTAAACAGGACTTCTTTTGTATTTTTCACATAGAACAAGTTATTATCAATCTTAAAACCTGAAATCTTTCTTCCTTTTTGCCAGACCATTAATAGCTGCTTTTCAAAAATACTTTCTTAGTCAGAGTCTCACCAAAAACAAGCTATCATTTAATAAGTTCTTGCAATGTGCCAGGAACAGGGCTAAGTGCTTTACTTGGATGATCTCATTGAATCTTACCAACAGCCCCAGGAAGTACATACAGTCATTACCCTCAGTTGAAAAAAGAGGAAACTGAGGTCCCCAAGAGGAATAAATTACAATGTTGCACAGCTACTTAGTTAGTGGCTGAGCCAGGCTTTGAACAAGACCATCTAACCTCAGAGGTCCAACACTTAACAACCTTTCAGTACTGCCTGCAGTGGGCCCAGGCCACATTAGCAACACTCCTGGTCTGTTGTCACTGTGACCTGCATCTCTAATCTTGGGTGCCATTGGTCAGAGGTAAATTTGATGTTTCATCTAAAATCCAGAGTTGGAAAAGCATCTGCCTGAGTCTCAGAGCAGAGAGTGCCATCTGTTGAAAGCAGTGCCAACCTCAGCAGAGGACTAGAAAAGAGAACCCTTAAAACTTAGCCTGCAACATTTTAGAAAAAAGGTAAAGAAGGCTGACTCAATTACAGACCCTGTGGTATACAAATGGACAACTGTCCACAGAGCAGAGTGACCACCTAGTGACACAAGCCCTCTAAAAAGAGCTTTCTTGTTCTTTTGTCTTTTTAGGGGACAGACTCTCACTCTGTTGCCCTGGGTAGAATACCATGGTATCATCATAGTTCACAGCAACCTCAAACTCTTGGGCTCAAGTGATCCTCTTGTCTCAGCGTCCCAAGTAGCTGGGATTACAGGTGTCTGCCACAACGCCTGGTTAATTTTCTATTTTCAGTAGAGATGGGATATCACTCTTGATCAGGCCAGTTTTGAGCTCCTGAGCTCAAGTGATCCTTCCACCTCAGCCCCTCAAAGTGCTAGGATTACAGGCGTGAGCCACACGTGCCCAGTCCAAAAGAGCTTTCTCCTAACAGCAGCCAAAGATGCTTGCTAAGCCAGATGAGGCAAAAGACATGATGTTAGGCACTGTTCCCCACAGGCACCCACCTCCTTGACTAGTCACGAATCTCTTCCCAGATCTGAGTCCCATTTGCTCTAAAACCCCAAGTTCAGAGCTATTGGTGATAAAGGTAAAGAGAGGACCTGAGGCTAACATTCTCACAAATGCTAGTCCCTTCCCAACAGGAAAATAAAAGGCACTTTGGAGATCAATTGTGCAATGCAGGGCAGCAACCAACAGCCTGTTTTAATTGTTAAAATTAATGCTTTGAGCATTCTAAATGCTCCTTGACATATCTAATTTGCAAATAAGATGCAATCCTGCTGTCTCTGTGTCCTCTGGGCTTTGGATAACTGACTGGGTCTCTTCTCTCTCAAATACAGGAGCACAGTGCTCAGACAGGCGTCAAGGACATGGTGCTTACTTCCGAAGGTGTGAAGGATGGGAAGACAGGACTGGCTGAGATGAAAGGGGGACTGTCACACAGACCCTGGAGCTGGCCCAGTCAACCTTAACCCCTTCGCATTAAGTCTGGGGAAGGATGGGGGAGGGGCAGTCGGCCGTTTCTCGGAGACCACAGCAAACATTTGCCTCCTCGTGTCTGGAGATGGAGCATCACTTAAGAGGAAATGAACCCGGTTAAGGGTCACGTCCAGAAGAGGGATAAAAGGAAAAGCCACAATTTTCCTTACACTGACAGACACAATGGCTTTAAGAGGGAAATCAAAGCTGGGCGCTGAGGGAGGAGGTGGGGTGGGGGGCGCGCCCCCAGACCCAGGCCTAGGAAGGTGGAGACAGAGCAAGCGTGGAAGGCAGAGAGCGAGCTTCCTTCCCCAGGACAAGCCTCTGAAAGCATCTCGGGCTGTGTGAGCGTGAGCGCCCCGAGCCCCCAGGGACGCCCGGGAAGGTGCTCCTTCCCAACTGAGCTGCTCTGCGAGGAGCTGACGAAAGCTCCCCCGCCATCCATCAAGGCTCAGGCGGACAGATGACTTCACCGTTGTAACAGACAAGGGCAGCCACTTGCCAATTCCAATGCCAAAAAAAGAAACCGGGGAGAGGGGAGCGGAGGAAGGACAGAAAAGGCTTCCCTGGAGATCACAGCCCTGGGAAGAAACTCCACAGCCGACGGCTGCCTTTGGGGCACTTAGCTCTGGGACCTAACAGCGGGGAGCGGCGAGGGGCCACCTAGACACCCTCCCGGGATCTCAGGCCAGTCCCCCACAGGCTCGGTGGGGGCAAAACTCACATAGTGCTTGGAAGGGTTCCTCCGCTTCTCCACGTCCACCACGGTAGCATCCTGCACGCAGTAGGCGAGCATCTTCCCCCACAAAGCGAGTGGCGCCCCCCGGCGGCGTCACCTTCTCATCCCGGCCGGGCTCCGGCTCCTTCTCCGGCTGCCCGGGGCCCCCCGCCACCCTGGCCCGGCGCGCCGACCGCTGCCCGGACTCCGGCTCCCTCAGGCACTGCGCCAGGACAGGAGACGGTCCCAGAGGGCAGGCGGGCTCCGTGCACCCCGGGCGGCTCCCGGTGGGCCTGCCCGCGCCCCTTCCCTCCCGCGCCGCCGCCGCGCTCCGGCTCGCCTGCCCGCTCTCTCCGCCGCCCGGTGGGTCCGGCGGGAACTGACGGAGTAGAGGAGGGGCGGGGGTGTGTCCCACCGGCCAGGGGACAGGGAGGGGGCCCCGGAGCCTGCTGTCAGCGCGCTGGGGAGGGGCCGGCGGCACCCCTTGCCGCGCTCAGGCTCCGGGGGGCTCGGCGCTGGCGGAGGCTGCGGGCGCAGGAGGCGGAGGCAGGGAAGGGAAGGGAGGGAGCGAGGGGAAGCGCGCGGGGAGGGGCTCCGGGCCGGGGGAGGGGCTCAGCGAGGGAGGGGGGAATGGGTGGAGGGAGGGGGATGCCAGGCGTTGTGTTAGGCTCCAGGGCCATGCAGTGCTAGGAATGTGAGAGATCAACTCTCACAAGACCCAGCTCAGGATTTGGGGGAGGGGGGGGGGGGGCATGACAGGCAAAGGGCACTTTTTGGGAAAACAGGACTTGTCCTCGGG